GTCAAGGTCAAATTATATGGTTCTATGGTTGTATTATTATAATTTAGGAGAGATAAGGGATTACTTAGACATCCAATATCTACTTTTCGTTTTCGTTTCTCTTTTGGATCTGCAAACCATATCTTTTTAATTTGGTGTATAGAAACAACGAACGCCGAGGCACGTTCATCTACGCGCTTTTCAACTAACGTAATGAATGGATCAACTTCCTGTAAATCCCACCTTATCCAAATCCATTGTATTCACCAAATCATTAAATATGCCCACCAAATCAAAAGATCAAGTTTCTAATCAGTAAGGAAGGCTTGTCTTAGCCATTGAGGCCTATAAAACGGGTCAATTTTCATATATTACGACTGCTGCCAAAACGTTCGATGTTCCACCCTCGAGCTTACGCAGTCGAATCAGGGAGTCAAAACACGTTCAAATGCTTAACTTTCTTACAGAAAGCTGAATTACGTAGAGGAAGAATCTCTAGTCCAATGGATAATATCCATGGATGAGAGAGGTCAGCCTCCTCGAATTGAAAACGTACGAAATATGGTGGATTTACTACTCTCTACCCGAGTTGAATCTACCGTGGGAGAAAAATGGGTTCAGAGATTCATTACACGTCATAAGAAACTAAAGACTAGATTCTCACGCAAAATACAACTACGAGTGAGCTTTATGTGAAGATCCTAAGATCGTACGAGAGTGGTTTCAACGGGTGAAGAATACGATAGAGACATATGGCATTGTGGATGAGGATATCTACAAACTTTGATGAGACTGGCTTTCCAATGGGGGTTAATATCAAGACCCAAGGTGGTGACTGAGTCTGAGAAACACGGCAAGCCAGTGCGTTTACAGCCAGGAAATTGAGAATGGGTGACTGCTATGGAGGAAGTCAAGTCAACTGGCTAAGAGATGCCAGCTGGCCATGCACAATGCTGCTATCTTAACAAAGGAAAACAAGGAGCTGTGAGCTACAGTTGAGAAGAAAAAGCGCAAGAAGAAGCAAGCTCATACATACATTTATATAGCTCAGAATGGAGCCTTAACAGCTGAGGAAGGAATAGCTAGAGCTCAAGCAATTGATCAAGCTGTACATAAGAAGGCAGAGAATTTGAACCAGCCATCTAGAAAGCGAGCTCCGCCACGCTGCAGCAAGTGTAATGTAGTTGATCACACTGCTAGAAGCTGCCAACAGACCTAAGGAATAGATCTATGTAAATTATATGAGAAATTCTATTTTGGTGGTTGCTTAATTCCTCAATTTGACTGGGTTTGGGGTGGGAAGCTATCCGCTCGCTCGGTCATGTTAACCTAACTTATCTGCTCGGTGATAGATTAGTTAACTACGTTAAAACTTTTATGCTTATAAACTCTTCACATTCTCAACGTAAGTGGATTTGTTTCAAGACATTCCCCACTTCGTCTATATACCTATATCCACATCAATTTGATACAAATAAACGATCTCAACTGCACACTACCTATCTGAACTGAGACAATTAAGAAAATCCCATAATGCCGTACAACAACCACTAAGAACGCAAAAGAAAAAAAAAAAAAAAAAAAAAGGCAAGGAAAATCCACGCAAGTCAACCTATGTGCACCCAATGCAGCCCAAGCTAAGTAAAATATCAACATGAAAATGCGCCAGGATATCCGCGTTTCCCTACCTCCTCAGCGGGTTTGTTTCGAGCTATTTACGTTCCCATCCCATCATATCAGCGAGTCCCTATCCACTCTACTGACTCCTTTCTAACATGTATACCTCCTTCATTATCCCCGCGCACCCGTACACGGATCGCACGCAGATTATGTGGGTATGTGAATCAAAAGAGATCCATTCTTCGCATATCGAAGTTTACTGTGTAAAGTTCGCTTAACAACCCGCCGGTGGGTGGGAAGAAGAGAGGGGTTAAAATCATGGCGTTTTCCCATGGACCTCAGCCGGAGGGGATAGCGTAAATTTCTGCGAAGTTGTGTTGCATGTGGGAGAAAAAGAAAAGAAAAAACTGGCTTGGGGGTAATGACCAGTGGACGAATGTAGATATGGTAAAAAGGTAGGCAGAGTTTGTCTCTCATAGAGAGGCTGTCCATTCGTCACTGACGACTGTTGTCGAGCTGTGTTTCCACCCTCGCGTATATAAATGCTCCATCGTTTCATCCTTATCGTTCGTAAGTTGTTTGCGTTCTCAAGCGAAGAACCACACAGGCCGTCGGGCTCATTTTCGATGTGTACAAATCATGTAAAAACAATTCTTCCAGTGAGGTTATTGGTGATACACACACCAGCCCATTCATCTGTGACCAAATATGTCAATCTCATCAACATCATCGTCTTCCTCATCTTCCGTGTCTTCTTGCCGTTCATCATCATCGGTATCTTCTTCGGAGCCATCAGTAGCAGTCTCGCTCTCGTCTTCGAGCACCACCACATCGTCATCGTCCTTACCACCACTAAATATTCCAAACGTAGGCCTGGAAGACTTGCTGCCCCAAAAGTCGATATCATCATTGTCGTTATTTGCGTGCTTGTTGTTGTCGCCGGAGTCCCCAGAGTCCTTAGGTGACCAAACAGACACACTTCCTCGATAAAGGCCGAAATAATTCCCTATCATTGCGGGCACGGTTCTAAGGGGCATAGTAGAGAAGGATCGTCGGTAGCTTGGAGCCTGTTCCGTGGGTTGGGTGGGTCCGAGAGTCGTATCACTTGCCGGAACTGATCTTGAGAAAGCCGGCGGTATTGTGCCTTCCGTTATTGTGTGATTTTCCTCAGGGCTTTGTGGTAATCTGGCCATGCGGATTGGTATGGTCAGGTTTCGAGATGCTTCCCGGCCTTCATATTCACGACTAGTGTTGCCATTGCCACTATCAGAACCAGTGAGGAGACGTATTTGCGTAGTGTTGTAAGAGTAGCATCTGCGATAATTCCAATCAGCAAAAAATATTCAGTTATCACAAATGAGAATCTTCTTACATTTCACATTTTAACCCCAACCAATGGTATTGAACCGCGGACTTCGCGGAACAGTCGTTACAAGATATTAGAGCTCTTGTATCTCTGAAATCCGGGGGCATTGGCTGGTCTGAAATTGTGCGGTCGAGGTTTCTGAAGTGGGCCTCCATATTTGCAATAGTTTTACTGCAAATAGGACAGCGATATGATGTTTTGGAGTATTGAGAAAAGCACTTTTGATGGATGCTATGTCCGCATTTCATGAATATGACTGCCTCGGGAGACGTAAACATATAATCACCACATATCGGACAGTCGCACTTCGTGGATCGTTCGATGCATCTGTGGGTTTGCTGTATAGATACGGGAATGCATACAGAGCAGGTCTAGTTGGACGTCAGTAAAAATCAAACCCCCCGTACAGGGCCAGGAGATATACCTTGCAGTGATAATAGTCCTTTCCAATTCCTTGACCGATACGGCATATCCCACAGTCGTTGCAGTGGTATATGCTCTTCTCGGTGTCGTTATCCCAGAGCTTACAGACTGAGCAGTAATAGCTAGCAGCTTGAACACCGCACGATTTGCACCATTGCCCAGCCGGCTGGGGGGTGCTGCAAACCATGCAAAGCATGTTCTGAGTCGCTCTTCGATTTAGAGTGTGATCTTCCTCTTGGTCATGGCAAAATCTGCAAGTATACCATCTCTTGCATGCGTAGCATTGGAGCTTTACCCTCCTCTTATAATGTCGACAGCCTAATTGAAAAATTTCCTCTTCCACTGCGTCGTCATTTGGGGGCTCCTTCGAGAACGAAGGCGTATTCTCACCAGAAAATTCTGACGAGTCATGTCGCGTAGCGAAACTAGGTTGCAGATCCTCATCGGTGAGATAATAGGGAAACGCGTTTGAAGAGGCAGACACGGTCAATGTGGGAGTCAGGTGGAAGCGACCGGAAGAACGTTTGCTGCGTGACAGAGGCGTCCATGGGCGTTCTTGACCGTGGGAACTAGAGGGTGAATGTGGCTGGAAGGACTGACCATGTCTATTATTCAGCGATGAATTGTAATTTTCCGTCATAAGTCCATGGATCAATCTGGCTTTTTCCGCGTTAGAAACTGCTGCGTCCCGTATATTGTGTATCTTTTCCCTTAACGAGCTCATGCCATCATCCTCCGGTAGCGTTGTTCTATATTTCCCCGCCAAAATGATATCTAATCCAGCGTATGGGCCATCGCTTTGGCCGCTTTCTCTTTCATTGGAGCCTCTAGCTTGTGGTCCTCCTCCCGCCCTAGGATGACAGTCAACTGCGCTAGATGAGGCAATCGTGGGTGTAGGTGTTGATCTTGGAGTCTGACACCCTGCGTCAACTCGATCCAACGGAGACCCAACTTCACTGCCGGTACTCCCGAGCGCTGATTCCATCAGAGAAAGGGGAGATGGGCGCAATGAATCTCTAACATTGATTTCGGAATGGTCAGAGGTGTTCACGTCCTCATCATGAGAGCGAGGGGAATATGATCTTTCCTCCGGGGCCGCACTCGAAGCCGCACGGTCAAGCGGTATTCCGCTCTCTTCAACGGTGCGATGAGTATTGGTCACGCCAGCGCCATCTGCTGGAGATAGAGATTCGGCATTTTCTGACTCAGGAAACAGGATTTCAAGACCAGCAGCATGTGGGGGATATGACGACTCTTGCTGTTGGCGGACTCGCCGTAGCACCGGTTCGGGGAGGAAGGAAGAAATATAGCTGCTCATTAGGCAGGAGGACAAGAGAGCGCAGATACAGGGGTTTTCATTTATATATATACACACATCCCATCCATCCATCCATATACATATATATATATATAAGTATATCTCCAATTCCTCACATTTCAGCTCCAGCGGTGGACAGTCTGTTGGTCGTCGTAGTTGGGAAGGTTAAGTTTGTCGCCCCGAAGTGGCATGTGAACGTTGGACTTGTTCGATGACGCAGCGGCTGCTTAGTGATCCATTTAAGCACCTAATAACTACAACTGGAAGTATCCGGGCTGGAAAATATAACGAACGAAGGGCGGTTTACAAAACATGCTTTTTCATGGTTATTAGAAACAAGCCTAGATTGGTATAGATAGCTGAGATATTTATGTGTAAATATGTATTTATTATATGTTGCGTGGCGTTGTGACCTAGCAGAGTAGTGATACAGGTCTATGTGCAATACAGACAAAGATGTTCTGTGCTGCTTTTTGAGGCTGCCCTGTTCATGAAGCATAAATAGATTCTAATATTAGCAGGCTTTCCGGATTGAGATATATAATCTGTGTCGTCTAGGACTGGAGACGCAATTCGTTCTGCAGCTCAGCTGTTATTGATAGATGTCTAGGAGGGATGTTCTCATTTAAGACATAGACCCAGGCTTTCATTCAGCATCTTCAAGGTCATCTCAAATGGTCTGTAGGCCGTAGATATCATCTGGGAACGGGTTCCGGTTGCAACATCAAAACTAGGAATCGTTATTAGATATGGACAGAGGATATAAAAAAACAGACCCGTATTGTGTGCCCCAGAATGAATCTTACAGCTTGGTATCTCTCTGACCAACAAACTGAGGCTGCTGCCAGAATCTGACATGCAGCAGATTTTTAACAATTTTGTGTTCGGTGCTGGTAGACTCGGATGCAAGTCGAAGAAAGTTGAGAGTGTTCACAATCCTTTGCGGGTCAAATTCATCAGGCGAGCCTCGTCTAAACGACTTCCGGAGGTTCAGGCGGAGGACGTAGCGGCCCGGCTTTGCGTATCGTATAGACTGCAAGCCTGTTCTATACAGATGGCGGTATGCATGGACGATGGCACGACTACGGGACTGGGCCTCGAGAGCAGCTACGGTAAGGGTCATCTTAGGCGGAAAATGAGCATGAGTCAATTTCGAACAGGACGAAAAGCACGAAAAGCCAATAGAGCAATAATAGCAAAATAATACAGACCTTAGGAGACATGAGAGCGTCAGTCGCAATTGTCTGGATTTTAGACAATATCTTTCAGGGTCATTCTCCAAGATAACCGAGTCAAGTTGAATCAAACATCGACGACGGACGGAATTGAGCCTCAACGATAAAGGAAAAACCGCAGCTAGCTGAAGCTATTTACTGGCAGCTTTCCCTTTTTCGAAATTATTATAGTTGTCAGCCCTGTGGGACTTAAAAATGTACTGTGCAGGGACAGCACAATCCCAGGTTGCTTTCAGGAAATAGTTTCTCGGTTCCTGCGAGGGGACAAAGAAGACAAGAATGCCAAGATATTACTCAGTTCTGACAGTGCGCAGAGTCACAGGACCTTGCAGCAGCCCAATCTTTTGGGCTGCTCTTGAGCTTGCACTTGGACACGCAACGGGCACACTCAGAGCATAACTTGGGCCAGAACTTGGGGCGCTCTAAAACTAACAGGCAAGGCTGTACATGGGATGAAACTTTTTAACTACGTTACAGCTGACGTGGTATGTAGAATCACTCTCTCAAGACCATGATCAACTCTGGTCACCATCTAAAATAAACAGTCGACTGTGTGTTAACTACTCCTACATCTCTATTCAACCTCACCACCCTCAGCACCAGGGTTAGGGGTAGGTAAGCCCGAGAAATATGATGAAATCACTCACTCTCAAGAGATGTGTGGGGTAATATGACTCTGTAGTGTAGTTGTGTAGTTTTAATGCGGGGTGACTTGGTCTGCATAAACCACTCCGAAGGTTTTTCCGGCCGAATTTCAAAACCCTTTGCACCTTAAAATAAGCCGCCTCACTCCAACCAACAGGCTTTCTTTCATATCTCCCCACCTTCAGCCTTTCTTCTCATCTCAACAACACCACTTCATCAGCCATCGTTTTCTTTCAACGACGGCTTCTGTACAGCTCAGAAGATAGAACCCTTGCGTATCTATAATTATGCTGGGAATTCATATCTGTATTTGTTGATTCTCAGCGTCCGTTCATATTCATGTGTACGGTTTCAAGTACACACTACGTTTCTGTTTCTGTCAATATCATCACTCCGTGAATCTATAATCATCCCTCTCTACTATCAGCACCCCAGCTGTGACCTATTTCTGTTTTGTGAAGAGTATGTGTTAGTTTAAGAATTATTAACCACACCGTGTGAATATTCTACCCCATTTTCGCTTAGGATGACCCGGGTCGTCGCTCGAGCCACGTCGGCACATGCCGTACGGGCTCGTAGCCGGTTATCAAAACCCAGGATCCGGAAACATAAGATTATTATGGAGAGTATTACCCAGGAGAAGAAGAAACTTCGCAGTGTCGTATGTGACTCACTTAGCAAGGTCTCCGATTTACCAACTCACCAGTCTAACACCAAGAGACACAGATCTCCTTCGAAGCCAAGGCTCCTCCAGGCTACACTTTTATTCCAGCTGGGAACCCTCAGTTTACTAATGCTTGCAAGGAAATATGTCGCAAGGATGGGCTCCAAGTTTTTGCAGTTTCGGTCAGTTGCGATTTCGCTCTCTTTTCCCTAGGGTGTCGTCTCTCAGCTAACGTCGAACTAGACAACCCCTCACCAACGGATGCACGACCTTTCGCAACAGGTCCATAGGATTGGCTATCATTTCCCTAGTGTTGTTGTAGCTACAATTTGTATGGAAAGAGGTTTATTTCTGTCGTCGACAGGAAAAGTTGTCCCATATCATGCCTCGACCCAAAACCCCGCAGGCATTCGTGGACAAGAAAGACGAGCCGATTCGGAGGTGTCCCAGAATACAATAAACGTGGAGGCAAGGGATGCGATAAAGGATCTATTCCCTAATATCCCGACGAAGGATTTAAATCGAATTATTAAAACGGCTTTCCAGAAGGTATTGTTCCTTCCTGACTTGGCGTTCGTCGCTGACATTCCATTAGGGTAAACGAAAAGTTGGGACTGCTGTTGAACTTCCGCTCGCCCGCCGTGTACAATTGGCCGTTGTAGCTCATATTCGCCATCTCTATACTGACTATGATCGACTACTCAAGGTAACTTCCTTCCAAGATGCCAGAGCAGCCGTTGAAGAGCCGTGCCTTGCAAAGCTTGTTCAATGGCGAGGAGATGACGAAAATGGAAAGACTGTTTTGGAAGATGTCTTCCGCGAAGTTATAGTTATCTCTGATGATGAGGATGATGATGATGAGAGTGACCTCACTGAGGAGGGTTTCGCCAGAGATGACCGCAACTCAAGTGTGGAGGTCGTGTCGAGTAATGCCCTGGCCGGGGAGATTCAAACTAGACCTGTGAATTTTGGAAATATTCCTGCTGCTGAGCGTGAAGCTGCCCAGGACTTTTCTGAGGATGAGGCCCCAACTGGATTTAGATTCATACCTCAGCCTCACCGAAAGAAGAAAACTACAAACAAGAAAAGGCCTGACCGTAGAGGCTTTAGTCGATACCAAGCATGGGATCGAGCCCGCGACAGGTACAGAGATGGTGGACATCTACCTAACATGGCTAGGGCCGACGAACGTGTAGCTCAACGCTACTCTCTTCCTCCAGCCACCCATGATCCGTTAATAGAAACAAGCAGAATAAACATCGACCACCCAAGACCTGTAGCCCATGAGTCGACTGCTGGCGTACCATATTTGATGCGACCGTTTGACCCAAATAATGAGGCACGTTTCCACCGCCCGCTCAACACCTTCGATCGTCCGTCTCTGGGTAACCGGCCGCTTCTGCTCGAAGCCCATGTAAGTCCACCCCGGAAAATAACAGCACCCCCAAGGCATGATGTATGTGCTGCACTTTGCTTGCTAGGTTGCAAGTTGTACTGACTAGAATCATTTTGTCATGAATTAGAAAACTCGACCTGTGCCACCTGATCGTATTCAGTTGGCTGACGGCGCTATATTTGAGAGAGCTGACAACATCACATTCCCTGAGTGTGAGAGGATAGTACCACAATCACCTGATTTGTCGCCTGTCTTCATCTCTTCCAATGGACCACCAGCGCGTCCCGAGGAAAGAATGTACCGCATGCCTATTGGTGGTTTGCATTCTCCTTCCCACCGTAGAGCGGATATAAGTGAGTACCAAGAACACCGTGACCGTGTTCTGCCGTCAATTGAGGGACCAGAGCCACCTAGCCAGTGCAAAAATCAAGCAGTGGATCACCCGGATCTTCGACGACGGGTCCCAGATGAATTTCAACATTACCACATGAAGCCAACCAAACCTCACATTGAGGAGGTTTCAGGCAGGATGAACATAATTAATATTAACGAAAACAGACCCATCTTTCCTCAAAAGAGACAGCGAGTAGAACGTAATACTATTCGTGATGTATCTCCCATGGTAAGAAGCCGAGATGGGAACCATTTATCCTTGCAACAGGGGCAATACAATCTCTCAAATTATCGTAACCAAGGTCCTTTGGAAGTTTCATGTTCTTACGCTGAGCAGCAGTTTTTCCCCTCTGATGAACGTCCTGAAGGCCCAGCCCGCCATCCTGAGCGAATATCAATTGGTACTAAAAGGCTTTTTGATAATATTCCCCACAGTGCGCATTTTCCTAGTGTTCTTTCTGATCGTCCCGAACATGGACGTCGCTATGGAGTTCCACCTCTCCATGAACACCGTCACGGAACTTCCAGTCAAAAACTTTTAGAATATCCTCACTTTATGTCTAAATCTACTGAATCCGGCTATATGGTCAGGTCTAACGATCGACTCGTCAGACCTGACCGTCTTTCCAATTTCGATCGTCGTCAACCTCATCTTGCTGACCATGAAGACTTTGTGGACCCAAGAGGCCCAAGCTTAGTTGTCAACGACTCTAGACGTCCATATGTTGTTCTACAAGAGTTGCCGCCTGTTAGGCGAAAATTTCCCCCTGATGAAAATGGTCGAGTGTCTAATAATAATAAGTCTCACGACTTTGTGCGTCGTGTTAATTTGCAAGATGTAAATGAATCTTCCAGACAACAAGAACCACAAAGAAGGATAAAGGACCCTGTCAGCCCTCGCCACAACAGATATTTATCTGCTCGTGCAAAGCTGGGTGCATTCAAGGCATACGACCGAGTCCGAGCTGAGACTCAAGCGGATCGCCCTTATTCACCTCATCAAACATTTCCCTCTCAGGCCCCTCTCTCGGGGCCTCGTAGTACTTTTTATATTGGCCCAGACTCACCAACACGAAGTGACCGCCCAACCTTGAACCTTCCCGAATCTTCCTCTGCAGCCTTCCACCACCCTCCTCGGAATGTCCGGGTACCTATTGATGATGAACGGTATGCATTCAAGACAACACGCCAAGCACCTTCGATTTTCTCTCTATAGAGAATCTTTAGGTACGATTGATTAATCTCGATTGCTTCCTTTATTTTTCTTTTTTATTTTACTTTAGGACATTAACTTTAGACTCATCTAAACACTGGAATGTGAATAGGTATCGCAACGATGAGATCCAATACCACACGGTAATTCGAGGGGCTAGCATACGGAGAAGACCTGAAGGACGGCCGATATACTACGAACGAATTCCACCGGAACGACCTAGCATTGTTCCGGGTGATTAATCAATGCTTTTTTCTTCAGTGGCGCCGGCATGGGTTGCTCTACTCTACTGGCTTACTTGTTTTATTTTCATCATTCAACACATGGATCATACGGATGGAGCTTTGGGTCTTGTGTGCCTGGTCTGGATACGAATAGTAGATGGGTAGACGGTTGTGGGACGATGGATGGAAATCATTGTTAGGTCTGAAGGAGTTTTGAGTCCAGACGGGTGTCAGGTGTTTTTTTTTTTTCCTTTTACCTCTCTTGGCAATACTGTATAGTATATGATACCCAATTTACTGGGAACTGGTTAGATATTAGTTGGTGTATGAATGTCTGTGAATACTTTTCTCTTATCCCTTTTTCCTTTGCTCTTGATGCCAATAGATCGAAATTTAGATTTTATATATCTTCCTGCATTCTTTAAAGCAAACAGTCTACTGTGATGTTGTCTTGTATGTTGCGTACAGCTTAGTTATCCTCGAGATGAAGATCAAAATGATAACGGAGTATGAATACGAGCAAAATGTTCAAAGCCGAAATAGGAAAACAAGACTTAAAAGAAGCAGAAATCAGGTCAGGTCAGTCCATGCATACTGAAATACAGCACATATAAATAATCATCATAGCATTAGCATTGAATCATCATATTGCCCTTGAAATGGTATCCGTTTATCCATCAAATCCATCGAATCCCAATGAATCAACCGTTAAATATAGTAGATATCAGTGGCCGTAAAAAATAGCTGCCAGTCAGCCATGCACCTCCTTCCGGCCCTTCGTTTCATTCCATTTCCATTCCATCCCAACCTACACCCAATACAAGCCTTCGTAGGGAAGAAGAACATAGAAGTCCTCTGGAGCCCAACTCAGCGCCTCAGACGCTGCAGCTCCACTTTTCAAACATCCTTCGGCTCGCCATCCGCCTCGCCGCTATTCACAGTCTTGCCAGTCTTCTTGATGGTGCTTAGCACAGTGTCGTATTCGAGCGAAGGGTCCGCGACGACGGTGGCTGTTTGCGATTCCAAGTTGACGGTGTAGGATTTTACTCCTGTTTTTTTGTGTTTTTGGAAATTAGTTTCATGGAGTTTTATACATATAGTTATATACATGTGTGTGTGTGTGTGTGTGTGTGTGTGTGTGTGTGTGTGTGTGTGTGCGTGGCTTTGTTTTAATCTTGTAGACATGCTTGGTGAAATTGTATGTGCCGCGGGAGGGAGGTGGGGGCCCTTCTTTGTTCTGAAAACGTAGTAAAACTTAACCCGCGCAGCGATGGACAGGCAGGTGGTTGTGAAGGGTGCACAGAAGTTCTAAGCAGGGTTGAAAGGTTGAAACATACCGTCGAGTTTCTTGAGGACGCGCTCGACGGCGCCGGAGCAGCCGCCGCAGCTCATGGAGATGTTGAATTTGTATTGATGTTCGACGGAAGCCATTGTTCTCTTCCTTCTCTTCCTTGTTTGCTTCCTTTTGGTTTTGTCCTTTGCTTTAAGAGTTGCTGAGTACGCGCAGGTGGTTTTGTTTTGGAGAGAGCCGACGGGTGTGAGGATGGTGTTATATATATATGCTGAGAAATGAAGGAATGAGGATGGGAGAGGAGGGGAAGATAGGAAGGACAAGGTATGTATTTCTAATCCATGGATAAAAAAACTAGTTATATTTGTTTCTCTCAGCGGGCGCTGTTTGTTTGTTCCTTCAGCCCCCGATGTGTATGGCTTATGGGCAAGGATTGGCTAGTATTTTCCACCCGAAACCAAGAACTTGAGGGTCTGTTGGTGAGAAACGGACTGATAATGCACGCAAATCAGCTCACGATGGAGATGCTGCAAGATTATAAGATAGAGATGAAAATGTGAAACAATGTACCTGGCCAGAGGATGATGGTTATAGTTATGCAGGTGGTGCCCAATATGGCTATGATCTATTTTTAAAGAGTGTTTGTTGTTCAGCCCCCCAAGAGATCCCCATAACCCTATTTAACTTACCAGAACTCTGGGTTTCTCAACAGGACCACAACCACAGCCACAGCCACATCCAACATCCACATCCACAACAGTCGAACTCGATGGAAGAGTCTTCTATCTTCTACTATAAGAACGATCCTGCGCCCGTTTCAAAAAATCCAATTTGACTCTTTTAAGAATGGGAACAATGCCCGCACTCTAGATCAAGTAACTACTCTTGTTACTTATCACATAACTACCCCTGGTGAGTGCATCACGTTGAAGTAACAAAAACAGCAGAATGATACAAATCAAGAATCACATTAAGTAAATAGCCTCATTTTATTAACAATCGGTAGCTAATCTCTAATATATAATGATGATCTACATCATGTATGTGCATCTCATCATTTTCCCACTTTCTCATAGCGTTAGGATATAATAAGAGAGCATCATTGTTAATCTTTATTCACTCAACACTTACTTATTTTCTTGTCTTTGTATTTTATCAACATCTCTCTCTTCATATCAAGTGATTCTTCTACTTATTTGATAGTGAGAATACTCTTTAAATATGATAATAATAAAAATTTAACTTTATAATATTTACTAGTAACTATATAAATTATTTATTTATTTGTGCTATTTATTAAGTTTTATAAAATATAAAGTAGATTTTAATATTAAATTGAATTTAATTCATATAATTATATCAATAAATATTATTAAAAAAGTTAAAATAATATTTAAAATTTTTTAAATTAATTACAAGTTCCTTTTAGTATTTTTCATAATTTCAGTAGTTATCGTCTCGGTTTTTGAATGAAGTATAGATTTTCATATAGCTAACAGATACATATTTTAATTATTCAATTATAATAATCTGTGGAATTTATAAGTTAGCTAGTTAATAGCAGAGGCACTGGGAGTCGAATCACATTATCACACAACACAGCGCGATCAGCCCTAACTAATCCTCAAGATCCCAAAGCGAGCAATGACGTGAAGAAAGCGGAGCCTCTTCAATCAATCACAATTCAGATGTCCCTAGATTCTTGCTCCTCACATACAACAACTCCCCACTATGATATCTATAGCCGAGGGGATCAGTCGGCTGGCTTTTAGGCCTTGGATGGTTCAAACTGCTCCAAGGCCCCTCGAAAAGAGCAACAAAACTGGCATTCCGGACAAATGAAACCGAGGCAAGGTTATCGTCATTGCTCCTTAGGAAAAGCCCAGATATAAATGAAAAGACATAAAAAGAGAAAAATATGCCCCGCCTTCCCAGGCAGAGAGGATGGATTTAGTGATATATGCTTTTTGCCCTGGTATTTCTCTATTTTCGCTAAGCTGTTCGATCGTTTCGCCTTGAGCCCGCGGAATTTCTGGCATTTGATGAATCAACAGATAGGAGAATTACATATAAAATAAAATATGACGAACAATACGGCTTCCACAAGATGGGCCAATAGGGGTCAGCGCCCCGTGCGAGTTGCTAATTGTTCGGGAGCCAGAGGTTGGTTTTGCTCTTTTACATTTACATTTCTCTTCTTTACCTATTCAGGGAATGCGTTCGAGCTCATGCTGATATGTAAATATTAGGCGATCCTGGATATCAGATGCTCCGGCAAGCAACGCTTGGAGATGTGGATTTTATTACTGGAGACTATTTAGCAGGTTCGTCACTCGAGGCTGTAAACCTGTAGACTGTTGTCGAGGCTTGGTTCCGCATTTCGGCGGGAAGGTTTCTTTTTCCATACTTATCATGATGGTATGCAGAAATGAATCTTGCGGAACATGCGGAGGCGATGGCTGCTGGTCACCATGCCGGATATGATCCGTTTGCATGGGATGGGATCCAGCAATCTATAGATGTCATCTGGGAAAAACGGATCAAGGTCATTATCAACGGCGGCGCTTTGAATCCCAAGGGGTTGGCTATTGAAGTGCAAAAATTGGTAGGCAACTCGTCTTTCTACTCTGTGTTGAGATAGGAAATTGGGTCTCTGCTTCTCCAAAGGAAAATACTGAGATGGTTTCGTCCGTGTCAACAACAAGGTAAACATCCGCGGATACGACCTTAAAGTTGCCTACGTCTCTGGCGACAACCTCCTAAACGAGGTCCGAGACAACTTGTCAAAATCAGGCACTCTGCCCGCCCACCTTGACTCCAACAACTCCCAAGTCCGCATGCAGGAGCATACCGACGACCTCAAAGACACCAAGGGTAAACCCGTCGTGTCTGCAAATACCTATCTTGGCGCCCGAGCTATTGTCAAGGGCCTAGAAGTGGGCGCAGACATCATCATCTGCGGCCGGGTAGCTGATGCCTCCCCCGTGATCGGGGCGTCGTGGTACTGGCACGGATGGAAAGAGACGGATTATGACGCGCTGGCAGGCGCCCTAATTGCAGGCCACCTCATCGAGTGCTCGGCATACGTGACCGGGTCGAATTTCTCTGGTTTCACGGAGTTCGAGACGGATTTGTTTATTGACCTGCCGTTTGGGATTGTCGAGGTGGAGGCCGATGGGAGCTGTGTAGTTACGAAGCATGAGGGGACGAAGGGGATTGTGAATGTTGATGTGGTGAAGTGCCAGTTTTTGTATGAGTTGCAGGGGGATGTGTATCTTAACAGTGGGTTTCTCCAATTGTCCCCTCCCCCCCCTTTTTTTGTTTTGTGTACGGTGGGTGGCTTAGCTGACGGCATTGTGTTTCTAGGTGATGTCAAGGCGTACACTCAGAACATCTCGATTGAGGCTGCAGGGAAAGATCGGTAAGTACATCCCCTTTTTGTAGACAATGAAATCTATATACTGCCCGTCGATCCGGGGAAAATGCTCATAATATTCCTGCAGGGTGAGAGTTTCAGGAATAACCGGTGCCCCGCCGCCCCCAACGACAAAGCTAGCCATTTTCTACAGAGGCGGCTTCGAATCGCAGCTTCTCATCAATGCAACCGGTTACGGTACTGACAAAAAATGGGAGCTGTTCGAGAAGCAAATACGCTTCGTGCTGGCAAAGCAAGGTTATTTGGATAAATTCGATTTTTTGGAATTTCAAGTGTAAGCTGCATTTAAATAGAAATTTATTTTCCCTTGTGAGAGTTATCAAGAGGCTCGGGTTGACAAACGGAATCTAGGGTTGGAACCCCGGCCGTAAATCCGTCAAGCCAGCTCAAGAGCACGACATACTGTCGTGTATTTGCGCAGGCCGGGGATATGGAAACGGCAATGGCACCCCGAAAAGCGATGAGTGAAGTTACAATGCAGCACTTTTCGGGTAAGGAATGACCGTTTTTTACCCATGCCCTCTTGATGCCCCACCAAGAGAGCATCATTAACAACGGTTCATCTAGGCCTCCATCTATCCCTGGATCTTAGAACCGTTATCCCGCGCCCCTACCTTGCCTTCTACCCAGCCCTCTACCCTCAAAACTCCCTCAAGGAGGCTATAAACATCCTCTCTCCCACCCCATCAAGCGACGGTAAAGAAATCACAACCGCCTCCTCAATTCCAGCCGGCAACCCACCCAAATACGAGCCCCTCGAGCCGCGAAAGAACTACGACACCGCCTCTCCACTCGACCTAGCCACCCTGGGCGAAACCACACGCATGCGACTAGGCGACATTGCCCTCGCACGTTCAGGAGATAAGGGCGCTAACATCAACTTCGGCATCTTCGTCCGGTCTGCGAGTCAATGGGACTGGTTCCGGAGCTTCATGAGTCGGGAGAAGATGCGGGAGTTGCTGGGGGAGGACGATGAGGAGTATTTCATTGAGCGGATTGAGTTTCCGCGGTTGCGGGCGGTGCATTTTGTGATTTACGGGATTTTGGGGAGGGGGGTGAGTAGTTCGACCAAGTTGGATTGTTTGGGGAAGGGGTTTGCGGATTATGTGCGGGATAAGGTTGTGGAAGTTCCGGTGGAGGTTTTGGGAGGGGGAAAGCTGTAATGGAGTGGGCTATTTACGGTTACCTACGTAGGTTTGGAGTAACGCATAGCTAACCACATGGAGATGGGATTTGGAAAGAGGTTCTGTTTTCTGGGAATTGGTTGACGTAGGTGGATAACTGAAGCATAGTTGTTCAAGCAAGACTCTTCTCCGAAACTGTAAATGAACCATACAATAAGCCACTGGCTGCCCCCGCTGCTTCGTTGATTTGACCTTCATGACGTTTAATCTCTCACGTCTGCTGAGGTAAGCAAACCCGCCCAAACCATTGATTTCCCGGTTTGAGAGAACCCAGGATAACTAGTTACCTGACAACTACATGTTCTTCGCTGCATCATACATAGCATATCAGGGTACCTTACATGTACCCTCTGGCGTACTCCCCCAGTGACATGTGACCTCATCCGACTTTCCTCTTGCTGCAACGTTCTACTTTATCTCAGCTTCATTGATTGGTCTCTTCTCTCTTTTCTTAGTCTCCCGATTTGCCCTCTTCTTCTTCTTCTTGTTCTTCTTCTTCTTCTTCTTCTTCTTCTTCTTCTTCTTCTTCTTCTTCTTCCTCTTCTTCCTCCTCCTCTTCTTCTTGTTGCCAGACGGCAGATCGTCCCATCGAAGGCTTATTTCCCCAACTTCTCACTCCAGAGGTCCGCTCTGTGTTCCGCCTCTTATCTTTCTATGCCTTAAACTCTCATTCGGACTCCATATCTTATTCCTCTTCCTCTCGGTTCTATTCTCATCTTTCTCACCTGCTGCTGGCCTCCCTCTTGCCACCTGGTTTATTTTATCGTATTTCTCTTTTTATTGAATTATCCTCGTCTTATTTACGAGTTATTCCCCCTCCCCGTCTGAAACAACCCTCCTCGAACCGAAATTCGTCAGCCAGCCTGCCTGCCTTACTTTAAACACAGTCGTTTTCATTCATTGACTCCCAAATATCCGTAACAAGAACGGTCGGCCGAAGTGCAAGCTACGGGAGACACTCCCCCTTTCTACCCAGGACACTATTCCCATACTTGAACTTTTCCAGCCAAATATTTTACTTACCACAGCGCTGTTTGCCATCTTCGACCATGATTATCCGGCGCGATTCCGATGTCGAAATCCATCTTCCTGATGCGAATCAATCGACGTCATCAACCACCGCAAACGAAGCTGATGTAGACATGTCGTTAGATGATCCCAGCGTACCACTCTCATTACCAGCTAATATTGCCGCCCGCTTCTATCAAAAATCAAGCAGCCGTAGGCGCGCCTCCTCCACTTCTTCTCGTCGCAGTTCTGTATCCTCACTGCATTCACATCACTCAAATATCTCTGCCCACGGCGGACCCCATAGTGACCATATGGCGCAGCACATGCGCCGTGTGTCCATCATTGAATCTCGTAAAGCACGCCTTGCTGACCGTGCGGCGCATGCGGAAAAAGTCCGCCTACGTGCTGCTCTTGCGAAAAATGAGTCCAAACATATATTGAGGGAGGAAAGGGCTCTGGCAGCCAAGCAAGCTCGTGAGAGGTTTTTGGCCGAAATCACGGCCAAGTGTGAGGAGGAGGTTCGAAGGGCAAAGAAGAAAGCGGAGGATATGAAGGAGCGGAAGGCTGCGGAGCACGCTAGGCAACGGTTGGAGATGGCGGAGAAATTTGCGGAGGCGGAGAAGAGACGGTTGCTTTATCAGCAAAATACCCGCCGGCCACGGACTACAAGTCTTGCTGCAGCTGAGGAGAAGAAGGTGGCCAAGGCGACCGTCAAACAGATGAGTCGGACGAGTGCTGCGCGGATTATTCAGCGAGCGTGGCGGAATCACTATGCGCGTACTGTTATCACTGAATTTAGAGCTGTGGATCTTTCGTTGCAGCGGATTCGTGCTTTGAGCTTTGAGGAGGTTGGAGCACTGCTCTCTGAGGAGAAGCTCTTGGCCGTGGCCGCCAAGGTTCTGCGCTTGTGTGGGTTACAGGATACAGAAGGAGGGGCAATGGGCGAACGTGGCGCAGTGCGCACGTTTCTCAGCAGCTATTTGATCTTGGCCCATCCGGCTCAAGTCCTCAGCAGCAATGGAGAGCAAGAGCAAGATCTTATTGCGAAAGGTGTAGATTTGTTGATCATTTTTGAGCAGGTTATCTCTCAATTATCAGCGATTGGAGTGTGGCCTGCCTATCTCTCTGCTGATCTCCAAGCCTTGTCGGAATCTTACAACACTTTCTTTTCCGCATTCCATGCCTGGAAGACTCATGACTCCTCAGTTTTGATAGAAATCATGCTAGCGCAATTCATAGAGCTAGAGCTTATCTGGCAGACAGTCAAGGATGATCGCGCCGGTGGTGCTGTTGATGATTACCAACAGGGCATCCGCCATAACCAGATTCTGTTGCTTGCCCGTTTGAAGCGACTGGCTGGGGCTGAAAAGGCCATGGTGATGGTGAAACAAGCTTTGAGGAAGGCTAAGCGGGAAAATATGAAGAGCGGATCTTCGCAACAAGCTATCCCCCGTGCCGCTGTTGTTCTTCCCTCATCCTCAGAGCTACTACCAGAGTCTGCCCAGTCACCTATCTGCGAGTCATTTTCTTCCAAGGACCAACTTGCTCTAGCCCAGTTGGACCAAGAAGAAGTCACCCCCCGAGATCGCTTTGCAAAAGCTTTGACGGCCTTGCCAGATAATAGGGCGCTTGTTCACGAGTTGTTGATCAACCGTGAGTATAAGATCGACCAAGGCCCCTATACGGAGATACGCCGACAAATCATGAATCATATGTGCGATATGATGAGAAGGGATGTGGTTAAAGGATTGGGAACTTCGTGGACAGTAGCGATGGCTTCTGTTATTCAGGATAGACTGCTGCACTCATTGAAACCTGGAAATTCATTGCACGTTTTGATCAGTGAGGTTCTCGATCCAAAATATATCGAAAACCAGTGTAATGCGGGCACATTTTCGTATGACGCATTCTTCGATTTCATGAGCAATATTCTTCCCAAGCTTTGTGCTCCCTATCGTGATCCTGATGTCAAGGCATTTGCCACTGACACTTCTGGAGATGCAATTGACCGTCTTGCGAGGTTAATGAACATTATCGATCTTCTGTCTTTGGACCACACGAATTTCCTGTTGCATGTTGCTGCTCCTCAACTCATCCGGGAGGGCCCAGGATACGAACAGCGTGCGTTTGCGCGGGATTTGCAAGATGGAACCATTACGCTTGACAGGACTAGGGCATTCTGGCGTTCGAGCCGCAAAGCAATTATCGATGAAATGAAAAAGCGCGACCCGGAAAATGTAAACCCGGATTACAAACCCCCCGTAGCGAAGATCTACGCACACGGTCTCGTCGACCTAGTTCTAAGCAATAGACGGCTCCGTCCTGAACTCATTCCCGAAACGCTACATCTCGACCACAGCCGCCTCGACGAACTACGATCTCGGGTTTTTAAGATCGCAGCCACCGCTTCGATTTTGTTGAGTGCCAAGAACCTCCTGAAGCGTGATGTGCGATCCCAGTGGAAAGGCGAAGCGGAGCGGATCATGGCTCTAGATTTCAGCGATATCAAACCCGAGCGCGTCCAGTCAATCCTCGAATCAGCACATGCCATGCCCTTGACGACACGGACCCAGCTGTTCTCAACGATCAAACATGTCCTCAGCCCCGCCACTTCTGCCTCCATCACCGCGACCGCAACAGCCTCCTCTGCCGCAACGATGTCAGGTCAATTCGTCTCGATATCACCTGATACATTTGCATTGCTCCCTTCCACCTCCACCTCCACCTCATCATCCCCATCCCCATCCAGTCCCACAGACAACCGAGCCAACAATACAGGCTGCTTCACCGACCCCGTAACGAAACTGATGCTCTCCCGACTGCGGGCGCATGTTTTCGCGCGCCTGAGTGCGTCGAGTGCTAGTGAGCGGGTGCGCATGACGGCGACGGCGAGCCAGAGCCTGGCTACGGCTGGGATGCCGGAGTTTGTGAGTGAGGTTGGGAAGGTTGTGGAGAGTTTGGGGAAGGTTAGGGAGGTGGATTGGATGTGTCATGGCATGGTTTATGAGGGGGTGTGGAGTGAGGAGGGTGACGGTGGAGTTGGGAACGGGAATGGGAACGAGAATCGGAATCAGAATGTGGATGGTGATGGTTATGTGGTTGAGAGGCAAACGGAGGTGTAAAGGCTTTTGGTCTCTATTGATATGTGTGGGTTAAGTAAATGGGACTGGTTATTGTTGGCTGGGAATGGGGGTGCTGCTGGAGCAGCGTTCTTTTGTGTTTCCTTTGCCACTTCTTTTATCATTATTTTCCTTGTTTTGTCGTCTTGCTATTTCTGTCTTTTGCTTTTCTGTTGTATATTCCTTCTACTTGCATTTTTGCGTTGCTCCATCTACTGTCGGTATGGTAACGAGAGAAGGAAGGGAACTTTGGTCAAGGCAGTTTAAATGGCTAGCTTTTTTTTTTTTTTTTTCCTTTTCTTTTTTTGGGTGGTCTATTGGAACTTGCAGAATAAAGAATGGTGGTGGGATACATTAGTTTTTATGGTTTTGGCATTGAATTGGATTGGCATAGCAAGAGAGGGGGAGATGGGATCGAATGGATTGCTATACGAAGCCATACGCAGTTGGTTAGACATGGTTTTCTTTTTATCCCCTTTCGTTTCTTTTTCTTTAATTTACTTCTTGGTCTTATATATTCATGCCCACAGCATAATCCGCAGGTGAAGTGCCTTACAGGTGCCTTTTTGCTTTATTTAGAGTAAAGGCGGCTGAGCCTGGGCACCGTGACATCATATACTCAGATTATCTTATCTGATCTGACTTGAAGATCTCGGCGAATCTGCGCTAGCCTCATCGGGAGATTTCAACTTCGGCCTCTGCTCGGATTTTCTAAACTTCTCGCCGCAACCCAGAAAATAGCACAATTTATTCTTTGGTAGTTCCGGGATTTTGCATCAATGGGATCTGCAATGTATGTTCTTTTCTAGGGAGGTGAGTTCCTGTGAGCTTTTCCCTTCAATGATTGGGGTGGGGAGGGCGTTTGTGGGATGATCTTTACATCTCCTCTTCTTTCAGAGGGTTTAGACATTCCCTATCCGGAGTAATTCATATCCTTTAAGGGAAATCATACATGTATCATGCTCTAATATGACTTACAGTTCAAACACATTCTATTGCTTGAGCACATTTAAGATGCAATACACGCCCAACGACTTCAGCAGCAGATATCGAGATATCCTCGGCGCCACTGCACTTTTCGTCCCCTCCTCCCTCTGGGCTACTCCCCTGTCTACTTCTACCCTTCCTCTCTCCTCGCATCGTTTCTAGAAGTACCAAAAATGCCATCCAAGCCCGCGGCAACCCTTAGCCTTCTCTCTCCCCTCACCCCCCCTTCCCTCGAACGCACATGGCTCACTGCCCCACATCCCCGCCTCCCTTTCGTGGCAACCTGCAGCGCAGACAAGACCGTCCGCATCTACTCATTGCAAAACTTCACTTTGCTCTCGACAATAACTGGCGGCCACAAGCGCAGCGTGCGCAGCTGCGCGTGGAAACCGCTTGTTAGAGGGGAGAGTGTGCTGGCCACTGGTAGTTTTGATGCGACAGTTGGGATTTGGAGGAGGTGGGATGGGTATGGCAATAATGAGAATGGACATGGGCCTGATATTGGCATGAATGGTGATAAGGATAGAGATTCAAATGACGAAGAGGACGACGAAGAATGGCGTTTCGCCGTCCTGCTAGATGGACATGAGAGCGAAGTGAAATCGCTCTCCTGGTCCCCCGCCGGCACGCTGCTAGCAACCTGCTCGCGCGACAAGTCGATATGGATCTGGGAAGACCTCGACGACGGCGATAATAATTTTGAGACCGTCGCGGTTATGCAGGAACATGCGGGTGATGTGAAATGGGTGTCCTGGCATCCCACCGAGGAATGTCTGGCTAGCGCTAGCTATGATGACACGATACGGCTGTGGAGGGAGGATATCGATGATTGGGGCCAGGTGGCGTGTTTGCGCGGACACACGGGGACGGTGTGGTCTGTTGAGTGGGAATCTGGGGATGCGGAGATCACTATTCCTGCTGCTCCTGAGGGAGACGAAGATGCGGATATGGATGGGGAACGTCGCAGGTTATGGATTGAAAAGCGTACCCTTGTCGGACCCCGTCTCGTTTCCTGCTCAGATGACCGCACGATTCGCATATGGGAAAAGCAGGTCCGCCCTCGTACAGACACCAATACGGACACTAGCACCGGCCCCTCTGGTATCCCCAGCATAATCCGCCCCACTAGCACGGATGAGACGTGGGCTGAACAGGCCCAATTACCCTCCCAGCATGATTTATCCATACGCTCCGTAGCATGGAGTAAGCGGAGCGGGCTGATTGCGTCGACAGGTGCAGACGGGAGAATTGTGGTGTATCAGGAGCGGTTTGTGAAGGCAGAGAAATCGGTTGAGGATTCTAAGAAAACAACGACGACCTCGACAACTACTACGGATACGCATAGGGATATTGATGCTCCCACAACAACAGCAGACAACGTCGAAAACCACAGTGATAATACACAGGCACGGGAACAGTCATCGCCTCTCCTCCAGATGGAATGGAATGTCTTGGCCAAAATTGAGGCTGCACATGGCATTTATGAGGTTAACCATATATGCTGGGCACTGCGAGCTGGTCGGGGGCGCGAGGAGGGTGAGGAGGAAGTATTGCTTAGTACTGGTGACGATGGATGTGTGAATGTTTGGAAGTTGGAGAGGTGATGGGTTTCGGCACTTGATATGGATTATGAGAGTTTCCCGTTGTTTGCGTCTGAGCTGTTAGATGCAAGTATTTGCATGAACTGCTGAGTGGGTTGACTATTTTTTGACTGTCCACCTTCTCTTCTGATACGAAATGATTTATTTGGCTTTAGAATTGGAATCTTACTTTTACCTAACTTACATAACTATGCCTCGGTGCAGGTGACTGACACGATGATGATTTGAATCTGCTGTTATGCTGGCATACTGATATTGAGAAGTCTTCATTTGAAATAACTTTCCTTCTTGAGCAGCTGGACAAACTGATCCACACTGGACAAACATAGATATAAGTATAATAATTCAAAATTTCTTTGCGACCTGAACTGCTGACAAGACTGTCTGGTTACGTACTAAGGCAAACAGAGAATTGTTGGATATTCACAACACATCACTTCATACAAGAAAGCAATCGAAGAATTAGGGGAGCAATGAAGGAATGAATGACGTTGGGTAGGAAGGGGAAGAGGAAAACGACAACAGGAAGAAAGCGTAATCAAATATAATTCTAGCTCCCGAAACCTGGTATCTAATCAAACGAAATCAAGAAAAACAAAGAACACCCTGAATATGTACAGACGCAAAAACCATGTCATTATACAGTGGTAATGCAATAGAAAGTAAAATATATAAAATATCGAAGAAATCTAGTGAGAGAATAGATATGTAGACAAGAAGATATTCTCTTTTCACTCTTGTTCATTTCGGTGTGTATGATGATGGACACAAGCAGGAGAATCTCTCGCTTCCATTCCGGGATACATTCAAGGTTAGGGGTGATATATGTATGCATGTCCATGCTGTTGTGCGAAGTTAACTTCGCCCTTCTTCTCCGCGCGACTGGTCAAACATAGGTTGCTGTCCATCAGAAGCCCCATCTTCCTCATCACTGCCCTCCTCACCAACAGCATACGCGTCTCCATCTCTACTCGATCTCGACAAAAAGGCCTGACTAGGCTGATCATCCAGCTCCGTCTCGTCGAAGTCCGCAGCCTCAATATCCCCATTTCTTCTACTATGTTTATGCGAAATTTGCCCCAGGGATCCCGTACTATTCAATCCCAGCATCGGGTAGATGCTACGGTATCCGCTACTCTGGTGCTTGCGACGAGACCGCCAGATGAATATGCCCCATGCAAAGGCAGCGATGGCGACGATGACAAGTGCCACTTCGCCCGATTTGTAATATGCCTTCCACGCGGCAGTGTTGAGTTTCTCCTTCTCGCGTTCGGCAGCGGCCGTGCTGTTCGGATGAGCGCCGACGGAGGTTGTGGGACCCTTCTCGCCATCAATTCTCGAATCGGCTGGGTCGCCACCTATGTGAGTGATATCAACGCCTAAGAATTTATCAAGCATATCCCGGGACCGTCGAGGGTAGTCAAATGGGACCATGTGGCTAGCGTTGTAGAATAGGACGTAGGTCAAGTTTCGTGCTTGTTGGTAGATACCTGCCGGTTCGCCTTCAAAGGTCCAGTCTTGTCGTGGTGCCCAGACGCCGGGGGAAAGCTCGAACCCGGTTCCTCCGGACCACTTCATGTTTTTGATCATGTCCTCGGTGCCAACATGGTTGCAGATTAGGTCTTTTTGGCCGCTGAAAAGGAGGATTGGGAGACCTTCTTCGAGAAGGCCAGGAAGCAATTCCACCGCCGGTTTAGAGTTCCGCGCCTTTAAGCTGCTGCCTACTGCACCTGCGCACTCAGTCCAGCCGGTTTGTTTCTCCTCATTGATATGCAAGGCCTTGACCACATCTTTCCTGCGAAGGTATGGCTGTATATCCCTCAAATCCGGGGGCCAATTCATACCGCATGCGCTATAGTCGTCTGTAAGTCGGATATCGTACATGTTGATGCAGCGCTTGCCTTTATGTGTATAGTCGAGAATGGCTTGGAGTATATCTTCACAATCAGGAATATGCACTGTCCCAGTTGTGTCCTCGACGTTCAATTCCTTCATGCATTTCGCTGCCTTTGCCTCTATTAGGTTTGCTTCCTGGGTACCTGCTTGGACGACTCCTTCCTGATAAACGTATGGTAGGTAAGCGGGATATTGATGTTGGGGTGATATCCATCCATTGCCAATGAGGAGACCTTTGAGATTCCAGATTCGATTGTTTGCCTGCACGTCTTGCTTCTTGTTCCGGTCGAGAACCGCACGGGCTATATACGGTATATATTGTCCCGCATACGATTCTCCGGCGAAATATAGCTAGACTCATGTCAGCAAAGCCGCGCACACCTGCCACTATCAAGGGGAGTAATAACAGATGGCTGTCATACATCATCAGGTTCATAGTGAGGGAATATCTCAAACCACTTTTCCAAAAATGTTACGAACTGAGAGGCCATTTCGTCCAGCTCATGAACGTAGTGCTCAGTGCTGCCATAGCTAAAACCCGTGCCCACCGGCTGGTCCACGAACAGCAAATTGGCAAACTCGTCCCAGGACCCCTCCGTATAATTCAGAGTTTCTTTATCTATTAGTCGGTAGGGGCCAATTTCCATCAGCGCCCCATCTTCGGAACTACACCCTGGTCCGCCGTTAAGCCAGACGACGGTCCTAGGTTTGTCCGCTATGTGGCGATTCTCGAAATGCCAGAAGAAGAGATTCCCACTAGTTTCAGGAGAGATTTCGATATGCCTGTAGATCTTATGCATTAGGATACTGGCTGATATTGAGCAAACCTCCACTCCTCCTGATCCCTCTGAACCTCTCTCCCCTTTTCATGAAAACTAACTCACCCAGCATGCATTTTCAGTAACGGGCCCTCCGGCTGACCCGGAAGAGAGTGAACGTAGTAATCTGCCGCTGATTTCGCAGTGACGGAGAACGGATGCGTGATTGCAAGACATATTGTCAGCCATTTTGACCAGGCGCGGGATCCAGAGAAGCCCATATTGTTCTAATGAAACGAGGGGTTATTCGACGAGAGATATCCACTGCCCTCACTCAGCGCACGTTTAACACCTCATGTGTAAGGTGTTGGGGATCCAATATTGCAATGAGGGTAAAGAGACCAGAGACTCATGGGCCAAGCAATCGGGAGGTGCGAGAATTCAACTACTCTTTTTGGTAGCGGCATGTACTTCGGATGTCGGGAGTCTAAACAAGATAGAAAGGTGAGGAAGAGAGTGCTAAGTCGGAGAGAGTGCAGCTTGTCTGTCCTTTGGAGCTGTCGTTGATCAGAGATAACGAGGCTGACCAGGGAGGTTGATGACGGAGTCATGTGGTTCCTCTGCTTACTCGATCGACTGTCGTTTTTTGTTGCTGCTGCTTAACGCCCATTCGAGTGCAAGAGGCTTAATAAGCGTCTCGGCGCCGTCTCGGCACCGTCACGCCAGTTATATATGTTATATATCATGGGTTACAAGAGCGACAGTTACGTTATTGAATGAGTTTATATTTAAAATGTAAACATCTATTGATTTATTTCTAGAGGAGGGGATCAAGTCCCTTGTCCGTGTCATTCTTAATCAATTCAAACATCCCCTGTCAATACAGACCAGCACATACTCTCAGCATATCGGAAATCAACAGTAGTAATATTAAGCAAATCCAACTAACCTCGGGCATTATTGGGTTTCCAGCTTCATCTTTCACATATCGAAATGGCATCTCTGTGCTCTCATGCTCATTGAACCGCAGCTCTGGAAAGTCAACATACGGTATCTTTTCCAATGGTACTGTTGTCCAGGAGCCTTAGCACACACAATCCAGTTCTCCGCAATGTCGGGATTTCAGATTTACCGATATTGCTCGCTCACCTTTGTCTTGCGTTACTATTCGAGTCACTCTAACCGCGGTGTCGGTAGTCATCTGCTTGGGCCCTAATCTCCGGCCTGTGAAGCCCTTCTGCCGCAGCTCGGAGGTACGGTCTAAGGGATAGAGTAGAGATGAATTAGTTCCATTTTACATTTCACGGACTGCCGTATACATATTCAGTGAATGCAGTGTTCGGAGAAATACGCACCACGCGGGGGATCATCGCCTAAAAAAAGAGAAAGAATAAAAAAAGTCGATTAGCTTCACCCGTTCCCCTTTTCCATCAAGGAAGAGGAGGGTTTTTGGGTGGGTAGGTGGTTGGGGGGGGGGGGGGGGGGGAGAGGAAGGGGATATAGTATGTCAGGATCGATACACATATATAAATATAATTATACATGTCTTCAGCTTCCTTGATATACCCATCGTCATAGCAGTAGCTTTTTCGTACCGAGAATTCCCCCAAACAAGAAAACCTCAAACTTCTCCCCATCCTCAGGTCTCAACTCCGTCTCCGCCGATGGATCAAGCAAACACACCTTTTCCTTTCTGTCGGCAAATATCTCCTCGACGCTCCTGTGCTGCACCTCCAACCTTCTCAACGAGGCAAGTTCATCAGGCACCTTTAACGACTCTGGTACGGATGTGAGAAGAAATTTAGAGTCGGCAGCGCTAGACTCTCGGGCGATGCAGCCGTATTCCAGGGCTGACCAAGGGCCGAGTTCGCGATCGAGATGCTCGACAACAAAGGTCGATGACGGGGTTTGGGGCTTGTTACCCATACTTTTTCTCTGTCCCTCTTTTACTGGGACTGACTGATCTGTAGAATTGGAAAATGCTGGGTCTTGTGTTACGGCGAAAGTTGCGCTAAATCAGCAAACAAAACCTTGGGAGAAACCTCTACGCGTTCTGGAACTGGACAAAATCAGGCAGCTCCGCAAATTCTATCGCATCCAACCTGCTATTGTTCCGACACTTTCGATACCTTTCCGCGCATTTTATCTCTGAGATAGAATATGAAAAGTATCCCAGCATTCAACAGAATACTAATATCTTATTCCAGAGGAACATGCTAAGGGTTTGTTTGTATTAGCAGGTGTTGAACGAAAGCTTAATCTCCAAACTAGGTATTTAGTGAATTTTCCCTGCTAAATCATGCAGAAGAGGGGGGGGGGGGGGAACAAACTACAGGATGCAAAGGTTATTTTAATATCAACTTCCTGGTTCCTCTATTGTGCTGTTGAACCGTGGTTTGGCCGCAAGCAATTTCTTGAAGATCGCAACTTTGCAATAGCAGACTTGACTTGTGATCAGGTGACAAGGAAGATATAGAGTTCTGTATCCATACATCAGTACAGTACTGTGTACTTACCTGAGCAACACAGCCACACCAAATTTTGGGGGTGTATTTATTACGCGGAGTGCTGCTAGTACTTTAGTTCCCTCCGATTATAGTTGTCAACATCTGCGTTAATAGGTCCTATGCGGACGAGGAATGAATGGGCTTTCAACATGATACTAGTTGAAAGATACGTGTATTGATTTCCATCTTGTGACTAGCTCTTCGAATCCATCAAGAATTCGCGGACGGTTTCTCTTAACTAGTATTAAATGGCCATTTGCCGTGCCTCATAAATTACCTTGCTTTTTCCAGAGTTACTGCCCTAGAGTTGAGAATGAATATATATATCACAGCTTATGTTTGTGTTTACCTCCTTTAAATTCACCTCCACCTTCTTTCATCCATGGCACAGCCTACATATCTGGCCTGAGAGACCACAACATATAGTAGGCATCTTGACTGTATTTGGGGTAATACCCGATTTCCCTCCTTGCTCCTGGTTTGGTAGTTGCTCGTTTTATAGAGTTCGCCTTCCCCGCATGACTAAGCAATCCTCCGCTTCTTTTGACTATCCGCAATCGATAAACACTTCGTAACCACTGACCAACCGCCAAACTGGCCATTATCCATGGATGATATCTAGACAGACATCTCGAACCGCGTCGACTTCTTCCCGCTCTCTCTGGTTCGAGCAATACCAACCAACTCGTTTACCCCCTCTTCTGAGCCCAGCTTGGGGTTGGTTGAGCCTCTTCCCTCTCACGTTGTAGTTGAATCAAACTACATATATCCAGGCAGAGCAACAACCCCCCCGTTCTAGATCAAGACTCAGAAAGACAGTGAACAATATGAATCCCCATCAGCAAAACAAGGTCGATATCAGCGTGAGTTTTAACCTCAGCCGGTTCAATACATGAGTTCTCCCTCGTATACCTAACTGACCCCGCTTCACAATACAGGCCCTGAGCCCGGACGAGCAACGACTCTTCCGGCTCTATGGCAAAATGCCTACGAAGAAAGATCTGCTGCAGAATAAGTTGAAAGTACGTTAAAACCAAGTCATACCTCACCCCGAATCAATGCCGTATTCTATGCACAAAACTCGACACCTTCCCTTCGATTCTCCGTCATATTCAACGAAAGGACCCTAACTAATCCCCAACCTCCCGTTGCCACCAACCAGGAACGAAAATACTTCGACTCAGGCGACTATGCCCTCAGCAAAGCTGGCAAGGCCTCTGACGTTGGCGTCACGAGCATCGGATCCCGCCATCCTCTCCCAGAAAACATCCCACACCTAACTGCCACCTCCCCCCCGCAGACCAGCACCATTCCCAGCTCCTTAAGCAATGGACAACACTCCACCCTACCGCACCAGGGTATCTCGAACAATGGTTTCCACCTCTCTAGTCTCAGTCACAGTCCCGTGAAGGAGAGCAGCTTCCTACAGCGGGAAACTAGCTTTGATGATGAGCCCGAGCACGAGGGGAAGGGGAATGGGAAAGGGGCGACTTCTAAATCTCCGGATGCAAAGGGTTCTGCTTCTGCTAAGGCCCAAGGAGACTCCGTGGGTGTTAGCCCCCCACAGCATAAGGAGGGACTGCCTATACGGCGATGAAGATGGAAGATTGTGAAGGGTTTCGGGTTAAATTTTCACAAGCTACGACAAATGTTGCGATTTTTTGATACCATGGACAAAGAACCTAGCCGGGAGCTGGTAGTTATTGGCCAATTCTATTTTTTTTTTTTTTTTTTTTTTCTCTTTTTCTCTTTCTTTTCCTTTTTTTGAGTGTAACCACTTTAGTGACTGGTATGGAATTTGAACTTGTCTCCTTGCACTGGCATGTGTATGAGCAGCACACTCCACCAACTTCTCCTCTTCTCGGAGAAAGTGTTTCAATATCCTCCTCAACTTATATTCGATTCGAAGAACCCTGCATGGCACTGCTCAACGCTTGCGAATTCACTTCCTCGGTATCGTCCTGCAGTCGTCCTTTCAAAATTTAACGTCCCTCACCTTCATACGGCCATATTCCATTTGTTTTCTTATTTATTCGCCTCTTCTATCTTCCACTTGTGTCTCACCTTTTTTTTTTTCTTTTTATTCCTAATATGTTTTCTACCAGTCTTCTTACCCCGGCTCTCAATCTTGTAGTGTTCGCTAACACCTATGGCCTATGGCCTATGGTCCATGGTCGGCTTCTCCTGTTTTCTTTCCTCTTTTTCCATATTTCCTTTTTACCTTTTTCTTTTCTTTTTCTCTTTTTCTTTTTTGCAGTGCCAAACATTTAGTTGCGAATAAGCTGAATCCGATCAGTTTTCTGGGACGTTATTATTTCGTTGTATCTCTATGTTACCATGAACACACGTGCACACACAGCCCCGATACCTTTTCATTTTTTTCCCTTGTACATTTGCAAGCAAAGTTTGAATCTTAACTGAAGTCAATACTCTATGCAATCTCTCATTTTTTATCTTGTTCTTAATGAGTCTGTCCATTGCAAATCTGTCCTATTGCTTGCTGTAGTTGACTTGCAAGGTTCCTGCACCTAAAATAAAAAGGAGTCTGCTAGGTATTCCACTTCACCCTTGTGCTTTATGATGCTGTGCATGAATGCTGTTGTTCTGAATTGTTAATTTTTTTTTTCTCAAGACTCAAAACATTTCATTTCCCAGTTTCATGAAGTTTTTTAACTTTTTTATCATCTGACATTTCCCAGCTTCTTCTGCTCTTCTCTTTGCATGTTTATCAAGTCTATTTATTCCCAAGCCTCAGTTAGCTCCTCCATCCTTCCATTCTCATATTTCTTAAGAGAAGTTTATTAGTTTATTAGGGGCAGTCAATGAAATTGAACAGACTGAACAACTACAGTTTAATTTCATAATTCGTTTTCTTTTTCAATATATAACTTTATAACAGTTTCACTAAGGTTGATAGACTACAGCTTCTTAGCAATGACAAATGAACATCAGCAAACGGACTGTTTTCAAATACTTGAACAAACAGCAGAACGAACATCAAGTGGCAAGCTCAACCGACCTCTAGTCTTTCTCCTCCTCATGTATGTTTCATACCTGTCCAGTAAGAAACACCAGGCGCCGATGATACTTAACATATCCCCATGCTGTGCACAAGTACACGGAGAAATTTGGCTTTTTGCACCACTCCTTGATCGACCCCTGAACCAATCCTTTCTAATTCGCTCTGCCTGGCCCAACCACGTACGTACGTACCTAGGTAGTTATATTATAGGCAGTGATCATCGCTGCATCCAATTTTCTTGCGGCTCCCATGATCTAAGAGTGATACATGCCTAGCTCATTCGTTGCCCTTTGTCTGTTGCTATTTACTTATGACGTCAGCTGCGTCATGGAGGTTGTCCGCTACGTAATGAGGAGTCGAGAGAAAGAAAGGGGAGGAGAGAGAGAAAGAAGCTGTTGGGTGGGGGTGGATTGCTTTCCTACAGAGTCAGTACTGTAAACAACAGAGACGCCCCAAGGAGGGGCGGGTTGTGGTTTTCAAGGAGTGTGATGCGCCAACTTCCTCCGCACCCCCTTGCTGAAGTCGACCTGCAGGAGCTGATGAGGTATTTCCAGGAGATCATCGAGGTAAGGGAGGAAATTCAATAGTAGTGGAGTGCAGAAGGCCAGACGCCGAAAATATGAGACAAGGGGAAAAGACGTAAAATTCATGTTCTTCCATGTCTCTCTGTATTATGCATTGTTTATCTGCCAGCCCAGCCCGTTATAGTGATGTTCTTTCTGGCGAGAATCTTCCATCCGATCGGCTCTGCCCATGTATGTACACACATTACATTATATATACTCATATCTTATCGTAGAACATGCGTTAAAAGAGCAAAAAGGAAAGGAGAAAATATAATAGTGAAGAAAATGGGAAAGCAGAACCTGAGATTTTTTTTTTTTTTTTTTAATAACGCATGAAGATGGAATAGTAGTGGAAGCAAAATGCAAGTCAAAAACATAATTAGGAATGGGACAAGAAAGGGGAAATAAAATGGCGTAGAGACAATAATAACGGGAACACTCCTTCTGTGTGGGTCGTTTCATTCCTCTGTTCTTGTCACACCGTCACCAACACAGACGCCACAAGCGTCATTGTTGCTTCACCGCCGGCCCATCATGCAACTTTGATAATTGGACACGGACAGCCCCAGGTCCGTCACTTGTTGTGAATAAAGTCGCCCAATTGTGACTTGGATGGATAGGGCACTGAGCGGAGAGAGCCGGTAGAAGGTTGGAAAAGCAGGAAACAGACGGTAGACAGTAAAGATGGACGGATGGACGCTGGATATGGTATACTGAGCGGAAGGGTTTGCAGCATCAGTGGCAGCACGTGTACTGTACTGTACATGGAGTTGGAAAGGGTGCGTGGAAATTAGGTCGCGTGAGACGGACGCTATGTTCTCCGCAAGTTCACCTTCATTTGGGTTTCGTGTGATTGGGGGAGTAGACGGAGATGGAGGTGAAAGGAGAGTATTTCAAGGCTGGTGCTTGGTTGATGGTGCGAAGTGCGTGTGCGTGGACGTGAACGGGAGAGGCCATATATCAAGAAAGAGGGGGATGCAAATGAAGATACGGGGAGGGAGACGAGACGAGCAAGACGAATGATGTGGGTGGAGTCAGCACGGAAAAACGGGAGATAGAGCGATATATTCGAGCAACCATGTAGTATAGATAGATAGATAAAAGAGCAAAAACAAAAGTCCATCAAAGATGAAACGAACCCACTTTGATCCAAAGAAGATGGGATGGGTGTCTTGGTACGGGTGTTCTTGGTACGTGCTCAATGTTGTATATGGCACGGTTGGCTTCTGAGTAAGGTAAATCGGTCAAGCAAGTGCAGGCGCCTACCTGACCACTTCGGGAGAAAATATTGAAACGGCTTTCAATCCCAACCAAGGAAGCCCTCTCTTCTCCACCGACGCTTTTGCCGTGGGGTGAAATCAGGTCCTGCCAACCCGATCTGGCTGATGCTGCGTCGACTATCAATCCCCCTCCGCGATAATCTCTGTCCATTGGCCACAAAGCGCAGCCCGGAGACAACTGTTACAGAACACATGAAGGCCAAGCACGAGTTTCCCCAGCGTCCTATTTTCAATCCGTCTTCCAATGCCCCGCAAGCCCAGCGTCCAGGTCATCCTGTTTGCCCAACCACAACTCGACTGCATACAAACCCATCATACAGCCCAGATTGATCCATCTCCAAAAATTCCCTCCAACGTCATTGCGGTTGCTCCACCACTCGCCATTCCCACCCATCGCCTGCGAGGTCGAAGCGAAATGCTGCATGAGCAAACTTGTATACACTGCAACGAGTATTGAGGGAGAAAACCAGCTCAGCAGGCCTAGAAATCGGCCTGCGCCATCGGAATCCTCAAGGGTGGCTTCCTGGGACAGTGCGCGGGCGCCAGACTCGCGGACCGCAGGGATGATCCTGGTGGATGCGTAGAACACGAAGAGGCGGTATGTGAGAGAGATTAGGATGGAGGGTGTGACGGCGCTGAATGCAGCGCTGACGACGTTGAAGGCTGCATGGATGATGGAGGGTAGGGTGGAAAGGGCGTGCAGGAGGGTTGTGTAGGAGGCCATGATGATTGGGGGTAAAGGGGGGAATGCTGTTGCCTGTGCGGCGGGGGATGCTGGTGGGATGGTAACGGGCGTGGATGATTTATAGTCTGTGAATATTTGGTAGATGCACAGGACGATGTATGCGAAGAGGAGGGAGCTTTCGACGGGGTTTCCGCGACCGCTGCCTATGCCCCAGGCGCAAAGGAAGACAGCACAGGTGATGGCGACGCCGATCAGGGCTGCGTCGACGTTGCTGATGCCGGGGAACTGGAGGACGCGCCAGAGGAAGTAGACGGAGCTTGAGATGATGGATGCGGACATGACTAGAAGGCCGATCTGCACGATATGACGTTAGCATATGGACTCGGTTCCCTTGTGGGTGTGACAATTATAGAATTGGCAATGTTGAAAGGGAATGTAAAGGGGTGTACATACCATCCAGCTGTCACTTCTCCCTCCTCTATTAACCAGCCACCTCGTAATCTGCCCAGCAGCCTGAATAACAAGCAAACTGCAGAACCCTTCCGCCAACTGGAAAAACGGAGTCGACCAGCTTAACAGCTTATCCCAGCCGCCCAAAACAAAATTCTCAACGAGCCCATTCGCACCAAACACCCATCGAGCAATGGACATATCCTGCTCCCTCTTCCAGCCAAACGTGCGCCCAATCCATTCAGCCTGCTGCGTCGTCGTCGTCGTCGTCGTCGTCGTCGAGTGGTGATGATCCGGAGCGTCAACGGAGAAATGGTTCAGCGACCAGATCAGCACGATGGGGACGATGAGCCATTGCGTTGACCTGATGAAGACGATCAGGGAGTATCGGATCCACGAGCGGTCTGGGGTGGTGAGTCTGAGCAGAGAGAAGAGGAAGTAGAAGGCCGCCAGGGAGAGGGAGAATCCTAGGCCACATGTCCTGCCGCCGACATCGAAGGCTAAGGGGATAGAGAGGACGATAGCGGTGAGGAAGAGGGCTGAGGAGAAGATCCGAAAGATCCACATTGACGAGGATTTGGGGGCGCTGGGCAGCGCCTTTTTTTTTTTTTTTTTGTTGTCGAGAGGTGGAAGATGGAGGGCGATTCGTTGGAGTCACGGATCCGAGCGGGGCGGGGTTTGATCTTGAAGGGTCGTCGGGGGAGTCGAGTATTGGTCACAATATGGAGCTGATCTCGTTTCTCTTTCCAAGATCTGCAGACGGGTAGGACGATTGCGTATTTCTGTTCTGCAGCTGGAGGGATGATGGAGGCTGCCCTCGTAGTTGTTCCTGAACAACAACAACAACAAGCTATGCAAGCACGCGGGGTTGGAGGCGGTGGTTGCGCAGAGCTCAGAGGGAGCCTGGAGAAGGCGAGGATTGGGCTAAACAGCTTTTGAAGCAGGACATGAGGGTATTGAGGCGTGGAGAAGCAGTGCAGGATGCGAGGATATGAGGGATATCCGGATGCAAAGCGACGGTGAGGTTGAAATTAGAGTTAAATTGCAGTCCAAGTTAGAAAAGTAAATAAATATATAAATATATATACCCTATTCAAACCTGCAGAGGAATTCCAATACTCCAGAAATCTCTGGTCTCCACGCACAAAAGATGGGATATGCTGTAAGGATACAAAATATATATGAGAGGACGGGCAGAAGCCGGTGAGAAGGAAGAAGATTGATAACTGGAATAAATAGCAGATGAACTACAGAAATAAATCGCTGATGAAAACAGGTCTGTCTTTCTTCGCACAACCTGGGCTTACTTATTCCATCCCGTGGTTGTTTTCCTTTTTTTTTTTTTTTTTTTCCTTTTGATTAATTTCGAACTTGTCCCAAGTTCCAAGGAAATAATACTCTTATTTTCCCTTCTATTCATCTTTCGCTTGTAATCAATTTGGCCAGGGACAATGGCGTATTTTAAGTCCGCGAACGTATGGATTTCGAACGACCCAAGAAACCGGTTATATAGTTTTATAGTTATTTACGCTGCAGAAGCGCCCTGTTGCTTTGATTCCGGATACCCTCTTGAGAGACATGTTCGCCACTCTACGGGTGGAAATAGTTTTTGCTGGCCTTTTCTCTGCTTCCAACCTCCCGTCAAGGAACCGCACCCTCAGCTTCTAGCATTCGGTCGGCCGTCTCTCTCTCTATCGCAGCAGCTGGGGCGCCTTCTGCGCAACCTTTAAATAGCTCCCGGAGGCATTTTGTTTCCAGGCAGAATCCGTTTCACATCTCAACGCATTACTGTTCAACAAAGCCACGGGCTCCGTATCGATTTCAAAAGAGGCAAAGCAAAAACCACCATGGTCATATCATATCTACGGAGATTGCCCGGGGACTATCGCGAGCCCTCGATATTCCTAGATGCGAAGTCTTCGTGGACTTTTTGGGGTCCGGAGATGTGTGCGTGCATCTTCCAGCTCATTGTCGAAGTCCCTCCAAAAGAGAATGGCATCCCGCGGTAGCAAGCTGAAGAGAGGAACTGACATTTTCTACAGCTGTATGAGCTGCCAGAGAGCGATGCCTGAGCAACATGGTCCAGTCTTCCCATCTGCTGAACAGCAACCACCCACCCAACCGCTGTAGCCCGCATCTGGGCAAGTAGCCACTCCATGATTCATTCTACGGATTCTATCCATTCCCCCCGTGTGTAGGACCTTGCTTCACTGCTAGACCATGGTTCTGTAGTTTGACAGGTACCAGTTCAACTGGTTTAATAATGAAAAGAATAAAATAAAATAAAGTAACAATAAAAATAACTAATTTCACTGATGTTGCTTATCTAATGCAGCCCCTAAGCCCTTTAACCAGTCAAGTTTGACTTGGTTGAACATCGAAGAACTAAAATCAAAATCGTTCCTCACGCACGTTAACAAACCAGGCCGGCGCTGGACAGGTCCTTCGTTCTGCATCTCTTTCCTTCATCCAACGACCTCGAACTCCGTCGTATGTTCCCTCTACGCCGTCTATTCAAAATGGCCGAAGAAGCAGCTGCAAAGCGGCTCAAGACCTCCGCCCCCGTGATTGGGACCCACAAGTATATACCGCACCTCAGCTATCCATCCACCTTAAGAAACCCCTTGCTAACAACAACCGTCCAGCGGCCACTTCCACGCCGACGAGGCTCTGGCCGTCTACCTCCTCCGCCTCTTACCAACCTACACCTCGTCCCCCCTCATCCGCACCCGCGACCCCTCCCTCCTAGCAACCTGCCATACCGTCGTCGACGTCGGCGGCGAATATGATCCCGCCCGCAACCGCTACGACCACCACCAACGAACCTTCACCGCAACCTTCCCATCGCACTCCACAAGGCTCTCCTCCGCAGGCCTCGTATACCTCCACTTCGGTAGAGCCATAATAGCCCAACACACCAGCCTGCCCATCGACCACCCCGACGTCTCCACCCTCTACGAAAAGCTCTACGCCGATTTCATCGAAGCACTCGACGCGCACGACAACGGGATTTCCGTCTACGATCCATCTCGCGTGGCGGCGGCAGGGCTGGAGAAGCGTTTTAGAGATGGGGGTATCAACCTTGGCTCGTTGGTGGGGGATCTGAACGGGCCGGATCCCTCGTCGAAGGATCCGCAGGACGAAGACTCGCTGTTCGAGAAGGCGAGTAAGTTTATTGGGGATGTGTTCTTGCGCAAGTTGCGGCTCGCGAGTGCGTCGTGGCTGCCGGCTCGCGCGACAGTGAGGGAAGCGTACGAGTCGCGGTTCGATACGCATGAGTCCGGACGGATACTGGTGCTCCCGCAGCCTGGGGTTCTGTGGAAGGAGCATTTGTATACGTTGGAGAAGAAGCAGAATGCCGGGCTGGATGGCGTGGCGGAGGTGGACGCGGAGGAGGGAAAGGTGTATTATGTGCTTTATCCGGAGTCGACGGCAGAGGGGGCGAGGTGGAGGGTGCACTGTGTCCCTGTCACGGACGCTAGTTTTGAGTCCAGAAGGCCGTTGCCGGAGGCGTGGAGGGGATTGAGGGATGAGGACCTGGACGGGGTGCTGAAGGGTGAGGATGTGCCTAGCGGGGCGATATTTGTACACGCCAGTGGGTTCACTGGGGGCCATGCGACGAGGGAGGGGGCGTTGGCGATGGCGGTGAGGAGTTTGAGATTGGATGGATGATTGAGAGGCTGATGGGATGTCAGGGGGTATTAAATGGAATATAGCCTGGAAGGGAATAGCCTGGAAGGGAAATGTTATGGGGAAATGCCTTTTGCTCAAGGACATGTTGCGATCTTGCGCTGAATTAATAGCTGCTATCTTGGATATATGTATGAGGCCCAGGAGAACTGTCTAATAGATTTCCCTTTTTTCCATTTTTTTCTGAAACAGCTGCCATATCGATTCTCTGACAACCAATGCAGAATGGCACCAAGTGAACAACACTACCGTATCATGATTCCCAAGCTCTTTCTTTCACGAGCTAGCGGTAACATATTTCGCGATGTCCACATGCCTCCCAAGAAAGTAATGACCGTATGTACATTGCTTTGGCCAGCTTTTGCTAGAGACAACCGGCACCACCTCACCAGGAATGGCGTGCTGCTATTGCTCGGGCAATTCTGTGAGGTTTCCCGTCCGACCATCGTCTAGCAGCAGCCCACGGACAGAAGCTAGCAGTAGAGTTCTGTCAGAATTCGGATAGTGAAATAGAATCTCCCCTGCGTTTTCCCTCTAGAGGATGAGCCCGGAGGGTTCTGGGGTGCCAATCGAAGCAACTGCTAGCAGCAGTACCTGAAGCATTCTGACAGAGTTATATCAAGCCCGTCCAGCCGCAGAGCGCAGAGGCCAGTGCGACCTCTCAAGGACGGAATTGATGGCAGGCCGCGACATAACTTGTTTAATGAAAATCCCCCTTCTTCCTTCAAAGTCGCTCAGAGTGAAAGTAGACACCATCACGCACCTCAGTCCCTCACCCCCAACATCCTCTCCGGCAACGGCCCAATATCTTCAATATTACCACCCGCAGCACCACGATTCCCTTCACGATGCGAGGAAGAGGAATAGGAATAGCTATCGCCACTCTGCTCACCCAACACCCTCTCAATAACCTTCGCTTTCGACGCAGCCTTTTTCAACCGCTCGTCAAAGTCCGCGACGGCATCCTCGGAGTTTTGCAGTGAGAGTGAAAGCGGGTCGACCAGGGAGAGGACGAGGGCGATTTGCTTTTGGAGGCGCGGGTTGGAGGGTAATGCGGGCAATGCGGGCAATGAAGGGATGGGTGTGCCTGTAATTCTGGACTTGGATATGTCCTTTCTTTCTAGAGGAGGGGTTTGCGCCGTCGAAGCGATGGCAGCGGCGGTGGTATTATCCGAGCCATCCGCCTCCGCCTCCGCCGCCGCCGCCGCCGCCGCTGCTGCTGCTCCTGTTGGAGGGCTCGGTCGTAGCAAAAGGCCATGATCCCCCGGCAACCGTTTAGCCCAGATGATAGCCTTGCCGTAGAGCCTGCCCATTTCCTGGAACTTCTCGAAGCCCTTTTCCACGGCGAAGACGCTGCCTTCGCTGTATCCTGCCCGGGCGCCGTCGCGGACTCCCAGGTCGTATCCTTCTTTGTAGAAACCCTCCTCTAGGTCTAGGAGGCTGTCGAGAAGGTCATGGTCCATGGCTGGTGGTTGTAAGATGAGTCAATAGCGGGAGTGCGGCATATATGTCATCTGACGACTCCGTAGCTATACCGGAGACGTGGATTGGTTGCTGCAGAAAGGAGGCGTAGTTGATAGTTTGCTAAATAAATAGTTATCTGAAGGCGTTTCAACCGGTGAAGACGGCAACAACCGCAAATCCCCCTCGAGTAGTTATATATATTTTTCTTAACCCCGCCAAAAACTTTTCTTCCGCCAAACAACCACCACACCCACCAACCACCCACAACACCATGGCGACGGAACAGAAGATCCTCCCTGTAAAGGGTCAGAGGAATATCCTCATCACAAGTGCGCTGCCCTACGTAAACAACGTCCCCCATCTAGGCAACATTGTCGGCTCTGTGCTCAGCGCAGATGTGTTCGCAAGTTATGGACCCCCTCACCTCCACTTCAAGGCCAAATCTACGAACACCAACAAAAGCTAATGTCCCCCCAGATACCAGAAAGCATGCGGCAGACCTACGCTATTCGTGTGCGGAACCGACGAATACGGTACAGCAACGGAAACCAAGGCGCTGGAGGAGGGCGTGACCCCCGAAGAGCTCTGCGCAAAATACAACAAAATCCACCAAGACGTCTACGAGTGGTTCGAGATCGGCTTTGATATCTTCGGCCGCACCCCAACGGCCCAACATACACAAATCTCCCAGAACATTTTCAAGCGGTTACACGAGAACGGGTTCCTGGAAGAGAAAACGGCCGAACAGCCCTTCTGCGAGAAACATGACTCGTTCCTGGCAGATCGCTATGTCGAGGGCGAATGCCCTCGTTGCGGCTACGATGATGCGAGAGGAGACCAATGCGATAAATGCGGACACCTGCTGGATCCCTTTGACCTGAAGAATCCGCGCTGCAAGCTCGACGGCGCCACTCCCGTCCGCAGACCTACGAAGCACATTCACCTCCTGCTCGATAAGCTGCAGCCGGAAATCGAGGAATGGGTTCACCCTGCCATCGAGAAGGGAAATTGGCCCAAGAATAGCCGCGTGATCACCGAGTCGTGGCTAAAGGAGGGTTTGAAGGATCGTGGCATCACCCGAGATCTAAAATGGGGTGTCCCCGTCCCCCTTGACGGCTACGAGAAGAAGGTCCTCTACGTCTGGTTCGAAGCATGCATCGGATACCCCTCCATAACCGCAAACTACACTCCTGACTGGGAGCTCTGGTGGCGAGATCCGGACAATGTCCAGCTATACCAATTCCTGGGCAAGGATAACGTGCCTTTCCACAGCGTCATCTTCCCTGGCACGCAGATCGGGACCCGAGATAAATGGACCAAGCTCTACCACCTCAGCACAACAGAATACCTAAACTACGAAAATGGCAAGTTTAGCAAGTCCCGCGGCATCGGCGTCTTCGGCAACAACGCAAAGGACACAGGCATCCCCCCGGACGTCTGGCGCTACTACTTGTTGAAAAACCGCCCAGAGACAGGCGACACACAGTTCGAATGGCGCTCTTTCGTCGACGCCAACAACGGAGAACTCCTCGCCAAGCTCGGAAACCTCGTCAACCGCATGGTGAAGCTAATCGCAAGCCCGAAGGCTTACAGCTCCGTCGTCCCGGAGTTCACAGTCACGGAGCAATTCGAGCCAGCCTTGGAAGAAATCACAGCGCTCCTGCGCCAGTACATCAGCGAGATGGAAAGCGTGCATCTGCGCGCCGGCCTCGTGACAGCGATGAAGATCGTCGAGGTCGGCAACGGCCTTATTCAGGCTAACAAGCTGGATAACTCGTTGATAGCCACCGAGCCCGAACGCGCAGCCACCGTCGTCGGCATCGTCGTTAACCTCATCTACCTCATCTCCAGCATCTTCAGCCCGTACCTGCCCGCCACATCAGCGTCGATACTCGCGCAGCTCAACGTGCCATTCCGGAATATTCCTTCCCTAGACGAGCTGAAGGAGGTAGGGTGGAGAGCAGACCTGATTAAGCCGGGGCATAAGATCGGGAAGGCGAAGTACTTGTTTTCGCAGATCGATCCGAAGAAGGCGGATGAGTGGCGGGAGATGTTTGGGGGGTCGCAGGCGGAGAGGCTGAAGAAGGAGGAGGAGGCGGCAAAGGCGCTGGCGAAGAAGGCGGGTACTAAGGCTAAGAAGAAGGAGAAGAAGGGGAAGAAGTTGAAGGGGGGGGCGGAGGGGGGGGCGGAGGGGGCTAAAGATGGTGGTGGGGAGGCTGCTAAGGTTGCCAACGGGGTGGGAGGAGAGGCCGAGGTGGCTGTGGAGAAGTTGGCGGATGGGGTAGCTCGGGCTACTATTTCTAGCTCTTGAGATAGTTTCGACCTAGATGTGCTTTTATTTCGTTACGCAATCACGATTGCTAAGATACTGCACTTGCATGATTTTTCGAGGTTCATTGGGTTTCTGCTATGGTGGCTTGTTATCTAACCACCCCCCCCCCCCCTTTTTTTTTTCTATTCTTGCTCAATAAATCGCGTGTTTTTTTTTTTTTTTCTTCTTTCCATATATTTATATCTACCTTCTTGCCTGCTTCTTACCACCCCTCAGTGAATTTCTCGTGAAATCCCCACACTGGCTACGCTTTAGCAAATATGATCTCTTTTATTTTATATGTGTTCTTACTTTGCTCTGTAGCCGGCTTGATTGTTTCGAGCCTTAGCTCATCCGTGATTTGGGATTAGCATCCTGTTCCATCCCATTTCTGCACAGCAAGTGTTGCGAGTTTTTGACCTGTTCCGGGTTTGGTATCTGAATTCATGATCCATGGGAGAAAATGGATCAGTTAGTCCCTCGGTGGTCTGAATGGAGAACTAACTATGGACTATGGTAAAGGATGGAGCTATGGTAAGTGGAGGAAGAGATTGGATAAAATCACGGCACATTTGGTTCGGGCGTGGTTAGGGCGCAAAAATCAAAAAGACAATATTTATCTGTCATTCACCACATAATCCCAAGCTTGATGCTTGGGGGAAAAGTCACAAACAGACGAGATTTTTAAAAATTCTTATTCTGCGCAATGCAATCGAAAGGCATGAATGATAAAAAAGATGCTGGGGGTGTTTATTCAAATCAAACTGCCCTGAGTTAATTTCTAAAAACGACAGCAAAATGTAAAGAAAATTAGAGGATAGAGAATATACGCGCTGACAAGAGGCAAGAACAGGAGAAGAAAAGGAAAATGAAAAGAATAAGAAAAAGAAACCCTTCTTTCTTCCTGCCAACCTTGCCCCCTTTAAGCTCATGTGGTCGCATCAATGCATCTTCAAGTCCGCCACATCATCTGGGAGTTTGAATCACGAGAAAAGAGGAGGGAAGGGGGTGGTAGTGAGTATAAATATCCAGGAAACAGGCGGGTGGTTGTAACATGGCGAGGAGAAAAATAAAATATAAAAATATAATATTTCAAATAACACACGCCAAAAATTGTCCCAAATGAGCATCATTTTTCTTATCCCCATTGGCGCCGGCCCGGATATACTTCTTTTTTTGCTTTGAAGGATTATTTTATTATTATTTTTAATTTATGTTTGAAGATTGGGTTCTTTGTGCTTTTCATGAAATATGGGAAAATTAAAATACC